GAGTGGTTCCCGTTACTCATCCAGTCTCAGAAAGCACTGGTTAAAGTGTTTGTGTATTTATTGATTTATTTTAAGTAATTGTGTTTTATGTATATTATGGTTTTATATTTTTACAAATGCTTTATATACTTATTTATATACATATATATATTTAGCGGTTTATACCTTGTGTTGTGGGGGGTGGGGGGGAGTGTTGTGTGTGTGCTTCTTGTCTTGTTTTTATGGACATGAAGTCTGCCAATAAAGATTGAATTGAATTTATTAGCAGCGTCCTCCTGAAATGCGCCAACAACATCGAGAGTAACGTCCTCCTCTCCGCCCCTTAATGCTCTCTTGTCGCTATGGTAACGCATAAACATTTCTTTCAAAATAAGACGCACAACTACGACACGGGAAAGACCCAGGGAAACAGAGTTAATGATAAAAACCCTGAAAACCATCAATTTCACACCCGAGCCTCAACTCTCGCGGCCCGCTACCAATCCGGTCCGTGGGCCGGGGGTTGGGGACCGCTGTGTTAAGTTACACGTCACACATCCAAATATATGACTTATATTTGATATCGTTTTATATGCTATTATTAGGAGGAGCTGGCAGAAAGAAAGCTGGAGTCTGAAGTTTGTACATTTTTTACGAATCATGCAGTCAAAGTCAAATCAAAGTTTGCTAACCTTTCCACAAAATATCGTTTTTAAAAGTGCTTTTATTTCTCCTGAAAGTTACACTGTCACCACTTTGCTGTTGTGGGATTCAGAGATCTCAGTTTGTTTCTGAATGCTGCATCTCCCTCTTATTATGGCTCTTACTGAGTGGAGTGGGCAGCAGTCACTGCAGAGAACCAGCGATCATTAAAACTTTCTCAGGTCTGGAGCAAAGATGAGAGAATGGACGAACACGCAGATTTCTCAAATTCTTAATAAGATGGAAGGCTGAATTACATAATGTCAGCTTGTATTAAAATACAAGGTACTATAATCCACATCAGCATTGCATAAATCATCATTCATCTTTTTGCTATTTAGATCTATGATCGTACCATCCATGCTTGATAAATGAATGATGTATAGCAGCTGACATTTTTAATATGTGCCACTTAATTAAGGCAAACTGGATTCAGCGCGATGCATCATCACCAGGCTGACCGCACACTCAACCTTTCCCACCTTCCTGCGAGTGCGCCAAATAGGCAGAGGCTTATGGTGACGTCTTCTCTCAGCGAGACGCTTACCCAGTTGTTCCTGAGTCGTCCCTTCTTCCAGAAAGGTGATTCTCTCCAAGACCGCCCAAAACATCACGCCCAGAGAGAATATGTCTGCCTGGGCCGTGTAGGTCAGCCCGCCCCACACCTCTGGAGCCATGTAGAAGTCCGAACCACAGGTGGAGGAGAAGTGCTGTCTGGTCAGGCCGCCATCCACGGAGCCCTCACTCATTTTGCTCAGACCAAAATCTGCCACCTCGGGGTTAAAGAAGAAAAAGAAAAACCAGCACGCCTTCGGTTAGCTTACAGCTTGGGCTTAGTCTCATCAATGTGCCACCAATAGTTTTAGAACAGGGGTAGGCAACTCCAGGCCTCGAGGGCCGGTGTCCTGCAGGCTTTAGATCTCACCCTGGGTTAACACACCTGAATCAAATGATTAGTTCATTACCAGGCCTCTGGAGAACTTCAGAAATGCTGAGGAGTCGTTTAGCCCTTTAAATCAGCTGTGATGGATCAAGGACACATCTAAAACCTGCAGGACACCGGCCCTCGAGGCCTGGAGTTGCCTACCCCTGGTTTTAGAAGGACAGTAAAAAGCGCTGTCCTTTACTTTTAATATCTGGCTTAGAACAAAAAAGAAAAGGAAAGAAAAGCTGGCACACAAAGTTTTTTTTCCTACTAGCCAACTGGTAGAAAATTAATCAACCATTGGGAAGATGGGAAACATACATATGCTATGATCATTTATATCAGGGTCCCTAATCCCAGTCCACGAGAGCCGGTGTCCCTGCAGGTTTTAGATGTGTCCTTGATCCATCACAGCTGATTTAAATGGATAAATGACC